TTATCGCAAACGCTTGATTGCAGTTGTTGCTGCAAAGGGTGGCACAACCAGTTATTAGATTTAGGGGGCAATTACTTTTTCACGTAGTGAAACAGCTTTTTTCCCTTAATAAATGAAATCATTTCAAAACTGTATTTTGTATTTACTCGGGTTATCTTTGTGTAATATTAAAATTAGTTTGATGATCTGAATCATTTATATATACGTTGATTGACATATTTAAAAACGTTCTTAAAAACTTGGCATGTGTGTTTTAAACTAGATTGGTAATGTCTAACACTAATGTCATTGACTCATATACCAGAACCTTATCCATTTTTGCTGAGTTTGCAGCCTTTCTTGCTTATTTCAAGTTCATCTTTGATAGGTAGAACATTACAAGTTAAATATATAAAGATAAAATGCATTTGTCTAGTCGCGCATCTGTTGAGATGTTATGAATATTCCAATGCATCCCAGCAGCCCATTAGCTCCGTGTATGAGGTGTGCTGGAATCAGTCACCAGCAGCGAAGCGAGTTAAATGGACCTAAGAATTGGCTCTGGAGAGGGGCCTTTAGACAAGGCAGATGAAAACACAAGGGTTTAAAGTGGATACATATTTTATTCGATGAGAGGTTCCTGACTCAAGCTTATTATGAGATGGCTGGAATAAAGGGTTTACATGAACAAAATAGCACAAACAAATTATTCTACCAAGAAATAAATACTGTAGATGAACTGGCACAGAGAAGCGAGTTGCACTCCATTTCACAGGTGCTTATCGCTTCTCTCGTTCCTTATTACTGAAAAAAGCTTATCTGATCATGCGTTTGCTTATTTACTTATTGATTTATTTTGTGGGATTACGGTGATGCAGAACAGTTTTTTTTTTGTCACTGGCTATTTTAAACTGCAGTGTGCAGACAGGCCATATCTGAATGTTTGTATACATGTGACACTAATCTGAGTCGTGTGAACAAATCCTTTCAAATCCGATTTGCTCTACTTTCATATGTGGTCCTGGATTGGATACATTTCTGAATCGAGTCTAAATCATCACAGCAGAATTAATGTGTTTGTTGTACAATGAAACTACCCTGTGGATTCATTCAATGCCAGCAGCGCCTGTCTTAAAAAAGAAATTGTAAAAATCGGAGGAAAGCAGAGATGGCAAGATAACACTTTTAATTGATATTGGAGGAGATGCTTCAGTTAGGCAAAACCTGAGGGAATATATTCAAGTTTATTTGTACAGCGCTTTTCACGATACAAATCATTGCAAAGCAACTTCACAGCAAATTAAGTTTCTACAATATTTAGTGGTAGCTTATCAGTGGTGACTGTCAGTTAATGTACATATGGCAGAAATGTACGAAAAAATTTGTAATATATGTAATATATCACAACGAAGCTGTGTTAGCACATTAGTGTTGCAACTTCCAGGGCCTGCGTTGATGCCGTAAAATGTGAGAACAATTCTAGGTGCCCAAAGGCCCAGCAATATTAATGTAGGATCTAACATAATTAAATGTATATATATATATATATATATA